TCTGAACACTGAACGGCGCTAATGGCTGCCAGTGTCTGAACACTGAACGGCGCTAATGGCTGCCAGTGTCTGAACACTGAACGGCGCTAACGGCTGCCAGTACTGTATGTGAACACTGAACGGCACTAGCAGTTGCCGGTATCTGAACACTGAACGGTGCCAGTGGGTGCAGGTTTCTTAATGGTGCTAGCGGGTGCAGGTATCTGAACACTGAAAAGCCCTAGAGGCTGCTAGTATTTGAACAAGCTGCAGATGTCAGGGTCAGCTGTCTGAATGCCAGGTGTCTCTCCTCAGCCGGCACCTCTACAGCCCAGTGGGCTGCCGCAGGGCGATGACGAGACCTACAGCGTGGAGAACCTGCGCCGTGTCGCCCGCAGTCTCAGTGGCACCGTCATCGGAGGGCGCCCCGATCACATCGCCACCTCCCACAGCTTTGTGAGTGCCGCGCACACCCCCACACACACAGCCGAACGAACACCTCACTCCTCAAGGAGACCCAGAGAGGATGCAGGTTTTCACAGGGCTATAAAAAACAGCTAGTTCCCCATTTTCTGAAACAGTTTTGCTGAATCAGGAATTTTCAGAAACTAGTGTTTTGGATAATTAGCTAGTTCTGTGCTGTAGCCAGAAACTTTTAAAATAAAGGGAATTTGAAAGAGCAAGAAAATTAGGACTTTGAATGCTGTACATACTAACATCCTGTACAGTTCAGCCATTCTGATTATGTTGGTGGTGCATGTGTACATAAAACTGAATCTAGTTTAAAGAAGGAAAATGTACAGATACAGCTGGTGAAATCTTATGTGCAGTAGACATCTTAGTGCTCCAATTAGAAACACGGAAAACAAAAGTGAAACAAGGGATCATGATGAGTAGTGAAGACAAGGCAGTACAATATTACAAGTAAACAACAGTTAAGTCACTAATTTAGCAGTTGCTTTAAAGGGGAACTGCAGTCCCAATTTCTCAGACTGCCGATTAAATCTCAGTAACGAAATGAATTCAGTGACTAAAAATCCTGAACTGTAAGTCGCCATGTTGTTGCAAACATGGGTTCCCACAAATTGCGATGTGATGTGACCCCTTCCTGTTCATTAGACTTCATAGTGATTAATGTAGTATGATGTACGAGTGAATACTTACAGGTTATGCAGCAGAAATTTCAGAAGCGTTCCAACGTAATCTCCATGCAGAGAATGAATAAGTAGTATTTGTCGGAAAAACTGTCTTGAAATCATTCACAAGTCTGCTCGTTTACATTGTCATAGGGCCACAGATGCCACCGGGCGTTTTGTTGCCTTGATCTGAATCGCAGAATATGGTGCTGCGCATACCTGGAAATGTAATTTATTTTGTGATATAGTATAAAATTTTACAAGTTACTGTGTATATTTTAATTTTATTGCAGTTTCAAATGCACTCATCAATGCTGGTTCTTTCTAACTCCGAAATGCGGAAATAGAGTTGCAGTTCCCCTTTAAATGAATATGATGAGTGAAATTTTGTGTGTGAATAGCTGCTGATTTATTGACTGTGTTGAGTTTGACATCCCATCCGAGGGACAGAGATCAGTGGGCTTAAGTAACTTCCTCTGGGTGACACACAGTGGGACGGGAACAGAGCTGGGATTTGAACCAGAAACCTCCTGTCAGTCAGCTCTTCACATTGGTTACTAGATAGACCAGCTAGCCCTTTTGGAGAAACAATAGGGAAGAGTCAAGGAAAGTTTATTTTCAACGCCTACATAGGTGTGAGGATAGGTACTTTAACCCAAATATAACTGATGTATTTCTAAACTATATACCAGACACATATTGATCCAAGTACTAACACCCTGTAATCTGAAAAATACTGTATATTTTTCAGATTACAGGGTGTCAGTACTTGGATCAATAGTTTGTTAACCATATTAATAATAATAATAATAATTGCTTACATTGATATAGCGCTTTTCTGGACACTCCACCCAAAGTGCTTTACAGGTTATGGGGACTCCCCTACACCACCACCAATGTGCAGCCCCACCTGTATGATGCGACGACAGCCATAGTGCGCCAGAACACTCACCGCACATCAGCTATCAGTGGGGAGGAGAACAGAGTAATGAAGCCAATTCATAGATGGGGATTATTAGGAGGCCATGATTGGTAAGGGCCAATGGGAAATTTGGCCAGGATGCCAGGGTTACACCCCTAGTCTTTTCTAGAAACGAATTGGGATTTTTAATGACCACAGAGAGTCAGGACCTCGGTTTTAAGTCTCATCCGAAGGACAGTGCCTGTTTACAGTATAGTGTCCCAGTCACTATACTGGGGCATTAGGAGTGCTGGGTGAGCACCCCCTGCTGGCTCCACTAACACCGCATCCAGCAGCAACCTTAGTTTTTCCCAGGTACTGACCAGGCTCACTCCTGCTTAGGTTCAGTGGGTTGCCAGTTGTGAGTTGCAGGGTGATATGGCTGCTGGCTTAATATTAAATATGGCTTGAGGAACCAAATATCCAGCTTCTACACCTATGGAACTGTCATTTACCCTGTTAAGAAGAAATTAAGATTATCTTAAACAACAAATTAGATTACAGCCTATTCTAGCCTATTACAGCCACAATTCTAGTATCTCTATCTATGTAGACGCCTGTAAAATAGGTATTCATCGGATATAGTATTCCAGTACTTACACTACACAGGTTCACAGAGACTTAAACAACTGCAGACAGACCAGATAGACGTTTATTCCCCTTGTCTTACTCACCCTTGAGCTGAAGAATCTGTACATGGCCATGTATCTGTATTGCCATTCATGTCATCATTACATCACCTCCATATTGTTAGCTTTCACTTTTCATGTAGTCTGTACTGCCATCTGGTGTCCATGGTATGTATTAGCCATTCTCAGGTCTCTTGAGATTTGATACCGCAGTTGCTGGATTGATTTTCCTGAAACATCTGCTTCTACCTTTCATTTCCATGAGCATAGTAAAGGAAAACACTCTGGCTTAGTCATGGAAGTATTGCATACTTCAGCAAGTCTGATTTAAGCGCTGCATTCATGGCCATGTGTGGCTTCTGGCCATCAGTGTTGGCCACACCAGGCGGTTCTACTGAAATATGGCTAAAAAGTGAAGGATTGAAATCTCTGATTTCTGTGAAAATTTAGTCACCTACTCAAAATAAGTAACCAAACAAAATGTCTTCAATCTGGGAGAATAACAGTGATATATGGAAAAAGAGAATAATCTGGCATAGCTAAGAAGAAGGAGTATTTTTAGGGAGAACATTTTGCACTTAATTACCTACAAAAGGATTTTACTGTTGTTTTTGCTGTTAGATCAAATTAACCTTGCCTGTTAATGAAATTGTTGCTGAAAGATGTGAGCTCACCCAGGTGCTTGCAAACATTTGAAAGTTTCCCACATTTTCTCAGTGGCTATGCAGAAGTTCTTGCCAGGCACACTTCAGCCCCGCATGGCGTGAGATAACTGAGGACTGAGTCACAAGAGCAGTCCCACAGCAGACTGCCTGACTCGGGCTTTCATTTCAGCATCCCATCCCTCTGTTTGTGTTTCTTAAGTGCTGTTTTGCAGAGGGAGGCGTGACACCTTGTTTTGACTGTTTGCCCCGGTCTCGTGCCCCACCGCACGTGTGGTCACATGTGTGTCGCATGTTCTCATCACCCGGGTTTCTCATGTCTGTTTTTGTTTGAAAGGAGCCCTCGGTCAGCAGGACAAAGCATGTGGACACCAGAGTCCCGCGTCACGCTAACACCTCCCCCCACTTCACCTCCTCCCACTATCCTCCTGTGTTTCCCTCTGACCCCCAAAAATACCACCACCCCCAACACCACCACCACCCTGTCGCACCACCGCACCTATCCCAGCAGCCACTGCGGCCCAGCGTGGCGGGCCCTGCTCGGAGACTGCCAGGTAATCATGACTCGGGGCTTGTAGCGCCATCTGTCTGCTGTCACCATACTGCAGGAAGGAGGCCAGGAAACAAGAGCTTGCAGTTCAGAATACAATGCACACTGAAATTTGCATTCCTCTGCAAAATAGTGTGAGAGTCCAGTTGTTCCCAGTCACCTGCAGTAAGCCCTGCATGATGCACAAAGCTGATGTGTCAAACCTAGAACTGTTTGTGTCTGCACAGTTTTGTGCTTGGTGTTGTGTTGCAGCTCTGTTATCAGTGTGCCAGGGCTGCTCTTTTAAGCTAATTCTGTTTTTATGTGTGTTGAAATTAAAAACTGGTTTATTGAAATAGCAGTGAGCCACATTCATTATTCTAATTCCAGTGTTGCCTAGAATTTTTTTTCCCCCTGTTTTGCTGAGAATCACACAGCCTTTGGGCAGTGCTAATCAGTACAAACCAAAAAAGGTATGAAATGTAATTGAATGTAAACAATCCATATTCCATAAATAATTGTTTCATGATCTTTATAAATTTCACCACCATTTAGCTGACACTTTTATTCAAGGCAACTTCAATTCAGAACAAGCAGTGAGTATAGTATAAAAAATATAACAGACAACAAAAGCAGTTAGTTTGTAAGATAATGCAATGCAAGACAGTTACCAAAACAGTACACACCCAGGTTGCAGAATTAACCAAAGTACTGGGAAATCATGTGGGAAAATTGAATGGCATTAGACTTCATACACCACGACTAGCATATATTTAGGTGCCATTGTTTTTTTTCTAGATTATTGTTTTGTTGGTTTGTTTTTTTGGCTTCCTAGCTTAACCCTTGATATGTGCGACCTCTGCTTGCCCTCTTGCCCTCTGTCCTGCAGGAGATCACCAGAAGGTCGAGAAGTTTTTGGCTGTGCTTGACCGGAGTGAAGCTCTCCCCAGTGAAAACTACCACAGTGTTGCACTAAGTTATGGCACCCTGCCCAGGGCGCCTCGCAGGCCAGTGCCAGGGGCGACCCCCATGGCTTCCCAGCCCAGAGGTAACGCACCACGGCACGTTCCCATCGGAGCTGCGTGCTTCTCCCGCGTTCCTGATCACCGGGCACACCTACACACCAGCTGTGCCACCCTTGGCAGCAGTCGCCCTGGTGCCACGCAGGGCAGGACAGCCCCAGATGCCTACAGCAGGAGACCTGCGCTGCCCAGTCCTCATGACGCCAACCGCCAGCCTGCCCACCGTTACCAGACCCTCCCGACCCAGCGAGCGGTATCTGCTTCAACCGCACAGCCTCTCCGCCTGGACATGCCCCCCGAGAAAGACTGGAGGGACAGCAACATCAGACTGAACCCCCCCATTATGAAGCCTTCTGTGGGCTCTGGTTTCCAGCCTGCCCCTTATACCAGGGCTGTGCTGAGCTCTGCCCAGCCCTGCTCTTTGTGCCAACAGAGGCCTACAGAGCCCCCTGATAGCTGCTGCCAGGCCTGCAGAGTGTACATGGCCCGTGTCCGCCACACCAGCTGAGAGATGCCCACAGCCTTGGTCACTCAGCTGACCCAGGCCACCCTCTGTCATTGCTGTGCTCTTTTGGCATGTTGCTCAGGTGTCAGGCGCTGAGCGTGGTGAGGTTCTGAAAGGAGGTCCTCCAGAAATGGGAGGGTGTGTGTTTGGTCCAGACAGCACTGATGCCAGTGCACTGCCCTCTTGTGGGATCAGTTCAGTACTATGGGAGACCCATAACAGGAAATAGATAGGCCAGTATTTTTTATGTTTCACATTTTAAAGCTTTCTTTGCTTTTGATCATCTTGTATTTAGTGTGAGTTATTGAAATGCATTAGGGACAGGGATCATGCATTTTCTTTAAAAGTGACAAATACATCATATGGATATTATATTGTGATAATGTGCAGATCCTAGTCTGGACGTCAGTGTTGTTCAGGACTGGTTTTAGTTGTTCTGGTTTTTATTTCGCAGCTATGCAGGTTTGGAGTATCACGCAGATCCGTGAGCCCTCCTCAGTGTGTTTGGTTGAAGCGTTTGAGTCCAGACTTCGCAATGGAAAATTCCCAGTTTCACAAAACAGCTCTTCCGGCTGTTTGTACGTGATGATTTACAGTAGATTTTCCCAGATTTATTTCTAAATTTCTAATGCCTGCTATTTGGATGTTAAAATTCATTGTATGTCTTGCATTTTCAGATGGAAGCTACAAGGATAGGCAGGTCCTCTGTCAACCTTCCTAGTGAGGGAGTCTGCGTGCAAGGCCAATATCTGGTCGGGCATTAACTTCTGAAAGGGACAGGGGTGATATCTTGTGCCCAGGGCTCCAGCGTGTGATCCTGATCACACAAGCGGGACGAGGCAGGAGCGGGAGAGAATTTGTGACAGAAAACAAGTTAATATGGAGACTAAAAGGGGTGAAGCATAAAAAGTGAGAGAAGACTAAGGTTGAGGTGTCTGATTGCTTTACATGCTTCAGTATGTTGAATTTGGGGCACATTTCACATCTTCTGTAACTTAGCTTTTTTTCAAGTTAGCTGGCCATGCTCGAGTATTAAGCAGGTATTTCAAGTAAAAATATTTATAGTTACCATTCAGTTTTCTAAGACTTACATCCTTTAATGCTATATTTCCTGGATTTTTGTTTCTGCTGTCACTGATTATTGTAATTATTCATCACTTTGCTGTGGACAGGAGAAGTCTATTGAGATGTGAAAGACACACTTTTTCCTTGTTTTTGTTTCAGGATATTCAAGAGCTGGCATATAGAATTCAGCTCCTTGTGTACAGAAAATATGTGACTCTAAATTTTCCTAGGAGGGCTTTTCCTGTAGCAAACGGTGCTCTTCCATCTAGTGTTACAGGCTGCAAGTCCTGAATGTTAAACTTCAACTGACATCTTATATTTTTCCAAAGTGCTGTGGCCCAAGATTAGTAAACTAGCAGTCAGATGAAGCATAGTGCACTTAAGAAGTGTTATTATGGACCCCTTGTTGTCCGTGCTTGCATGATACTACTCATCACGGAGGGACAAGTTGGGATGAGGTGTAAAGACCACCTGTGACCACCTCTGGGGTTGTAGGTTGGATGTTGTGGGGATACATGCCCAAACTGTCCTGGCTGGGCTCCCGATTCTGCAGCTGGTTCCTGGAGCACTCCTGTTGAGAGTAACATACATGAATTTGTTAGGCTAGTGGAACTGGTTCCTTCCCTCTTCCCGCTCTGCGGTTTACAGTTCAGAGTGGACATTTTGCACCATGACAAACCGCTCTGAATCCTGGCCATTGCCAAGAGCAGACTTCAGCCGTGCACATCTGCGCAAGCGCACACACAGCCCAGTGGGCGGGCTGCAGCTCCTGGAAATACAGCTCAACGCCGTGAGCCACAGAACTCCCAGCCCTGTCCTGGGCATGTAGCTGCAGTGCAGTGTTCAGTGTGGATCTCAGTATACTGTTGTTTAATGCAATTGTACACAAACATTTCAGTAGACATAGAACTAAAATTGCATTGCAAGCCAAACTGGACTGCTCAGAAAGCCCATTCAAGTGAAATATATGTATTTTCCAGAATGGAGACACCTGTGAGAACGTCGGGTAACTTACTGTTAACCTAGGGACACATCTAAGGTGTTTCCAAATGTTTAGCTAGATTCTAAAGATTAGGCCCTTAGGATCTGGGGCAGTTTTGTGATATTTTGATCACTAACTGGCATGTCTGTTCTTGTGACAGGACCCTGCTAGAAGAGACACTTCTATATAACAGTTATATTTTAACTTTGTAGATCTGAAAGATTAAACTTGACAGTTTGGAGAGTTTGCCTTGTTTGTAAAGGGCGAGTGTTGACAGAAAATAGTGGTGATTTTGAGTTAGTTCCGAGAAACTTAAAACTACAGATTTTGGTGGCCTTAAAATGTTTAATGATGTTGTTACAATGAAGGCCAGTGTTTTTTAACAAATTGTAAAGATATCTTCCTTTTTTTTCAATTGACGTTTACAGCAGAGTGGCTGAGATGCATGTTACAACACATTGTGGAAGTAAACTATCTCTGCAAATGAGAGCAATGACTGCTTCAAGCATTTCTTTAAACCTATTTTTCAAATACTCTCATTTTTTATTTTTCCCCTGTGCACAGAGCTAAATTGAGTATTGTTAATGTTGGGTGGCCACTGGAAAAGTCTCTAAATTTGCAAGTAAAAAGTGGGGAATTCTACCAGTCAGGGAGGATTGATTGTGGGTAAAGGGATCTGGGATTACACTTGCAAAATACTCCAAGTAGACCAGAGTGAACTGTGCAGCTGCTGCCCTGGGTGGGAGTGTTGTAATCTAAAGTATCTAAAGTAGAAAGTAGCTTCCTTCCAAAGGGACTTGTATGAAAATAGATTTTCATATTCAAATACTAACCAAAGATTGCCACTTTAGTGAAATGAGAGGCATTTTGATCATTTTTTATTTTTTATTAACATTTATTGTTCACTGTAGTCTTGGCCTTTCCAGTGAATGAATGTGCAACACTGCCCCCTAGTGAATCCGCAGCAGAGACGCAGGTTACGGATTTGTCTGCTTGTCTATTTTTGTTCTGTAAACCAAAAAGATGATTTATTGCAACTGTTGAGATATGTATATAAATGTGTGTACAGATATTAATAGCCTTTGAAATGTGAATTGAGAGATAAGTCGACCCTGTAAAGGTTATTCAGATGGTTTACAAATAGAGTTTGTAAATGCTGCGATGGAAGATGGATCTTGTATTTTTGCAATAAAGTTATAATAATGTGCTCATAGAGAAGCACAGCACACTTATCTGTTGTCTTAGCTAAGACATTTCTGTTTCCTGTGTCCTTTTATTTTGCTGTCCTATTTTTGAATCATGGTTGCAATGAAATATGAAAGCTTTAAAATAGTCAACATTTGTATGGTGCGAAATAACATGCAAAAAAATCAGTTACAGCTGATCCAGTGGCCTAAAGACATTGTCCAGGGAGTGGCACCGTGTGACTCTGAATCTACAAGCGACTGTGATCGAATGCAGGCAGGGGCAGATGAGAACAGTTAGTTTCATTGTCCTGCTGGAATATTGACTTCCAACCTATCCAATAATGGCATTATGTCACTGAGTTTTTTCAGTGTTCATCGATCCTAATGTAAAGGTAGGTGGTACCTGATGAATAAAAACAGACAATCTCACAACTTTAACCATGTTCAAAGCTTTTTCTTAAGATGCTCCTTGTCTCTCCCTCCAAACACTCCCTTTTAAGTACAATTCAAGTATTATTATCCCTTGGAAGAAGTTTGTTTTATTTCAGAATCCAACACAACAGTACAACAAAAACAAACATCAACCAAGAATTCAGTACAACAGTGTTTCAGCAGTTATATTTTACATTGTTTGGGAAATGACACACTGTAGCAGAGGGGCTGAACAATTTCCTGTATCTATTTCCATTACACCTGGGGGCACAGAGGTGTCTCCCAAATGGAAATAGTTTAAATTCACAGCAAAGGAGTGTGCTACACACTCCATAATGCTCTTAGTCTTAAGTACAAGACTAGACAGTATTTAGGTTTATTTGCACCAATGATTTTGCTGCTTATCTACACTAATTTTCCCAACTTATTACAATTACTGATGTTGGCAAAACAACAAATGATACAGCATATTAGAACACTTGTAGAAAAGGTAGAAGCAGACCACCTTAAAGTAGCTGAGTTTCCTAAGAATGGTATAAATGGTATAATATAACAACATACAGTATGTCCCATCTCAGGATTTTTTGTCTGTGACCATTCTCAAGTACAGTACTTATACTGTGCTTCTTGACAGCCTCTACAGTCTGACCATTAATTATAGAACACTGGAAATGTGTCACATTCTTCATAAATTAAATTATTAGTTATTTTCTATTCCAAAACATTTAACAACAAAGAGATCTAATAATACCATTAAATAAAATAATTTAGAATGGGCCCTTGATGGTTTTCTGGGTTCTTTAATAAGCTAACCAGGCCTGTTACCAGCAAACTTCATGTGTTGTCTGTGTGTTTGTGCTTACAAGTGTTAGTGTACAACAAAGGGTACAAGACAGCCTAGTAGAAGTGTAGCAATTGTCAGATAACCTTGTCCCCACTGTTCTGTTGAAACCTCTTTATTAAGAAGTCTAGAACCCATCTTATCAAGTTATGATTTAATGTGAAAGTCTTAGAGTTTCTGTGCTAGCTAGAGTGGCTGTGTTGGATTAAAGGAAGAAGAAGAATCAACAAATAAGATTCTTACAAATTTGTTTTGTGAAAAAACTTGGCATTCATAGGACTATAAAAATCCGTTGAAGAAGTCATCAGGCTTTTTAAAGTATCCAGTGGAAAACTGAAGGACAAGCAGCTACTGTAAGTAAACATTTTATGAATGGAAATAAAACTATAGATGAGAGCAATGGTGTCTGAGTCTGAGGTATCCCAGCAGACCCGCCTGTAAGCCTGGAATTGCCTTTCCACAGAAATGGTCTGGGGCTCATTTGCCCAATTCTGTACCCTTTAGCACCACAGGACACCAGGACACCCAGAGGAGGTCTCTCTCAGGTCACTACCCCACGGGGCTTCTGCACCAGGCAGGATCAGAGATGGCCCTCAACTGGTCCCGTGGCAGTGGGGTTTGTTCCAACCATTCATTCTGGGTGCAAGTTTGAAATTAATTAGCTGGTGTTAAATTTGAAGAAGAGAAAAGCATTGTCCCAGACTGCGTTCCTTGAGACACTGTTCAGTGTGTCTGGATCCCTACTGAATGCAGTACGTGGGCAGGGGCTGATAATACCTGCAGAAAGAGAAGAGGCTGGAGCCCTGGTAGTGGCTGTTGTAACAATTCCATCTACCACTGATTTGAGTGGGCAAAGCTTGGTTCAATGGGCTTAGCAGAGTCCGAGATACACATAATAAGAAAACATAGAGAGCGACTAAGATTAATTAGTCCATGACCACCTGGTCATGGAGTGACACAATAAAACTGATCTTACAAATCAGGGGTTCCCAACCCTGGTCCTAAAAACACAGCAGATTTTGTAGGTCTCCGGTAAATCAACAATATAATTGTGATCAGTTGGTAACCTGTTAAGTAATTGATCATTTAAAATTTCTTAAAAGACCTCTTCAGCACTCAAGAATCGTAGTTCTTTTGAACAGATTTGCTGCTTAAGTCATTAACAGCTGAAAGGAGCTCCTGATCTTTAAGAACAGATGCCTAATGACCAAACTGGTGAATTGAATAAGTATATGAGGTGGAAAAAAACTCCTGGCAGTGGGATTCAAACACTTAAAGTTATTTCAAGAGGGGTCAAACACAAAGTTTGCAAATAAAGAGGAGGATATTTCATAAAGCTTCCTCATTTAGTAGTTCAGTAAATCAAACATTTCTTCCAGCTGTGACTTGAAGGAGTCCAATGTTTGGGCCTCAGGCGCCTAGCTGAGTCTTTCAGGCATACACAACTTTGTACAGAAGATTGTCTAAGATTCTTTGATTGTTTCCTTGTATTACAATTATTAATTTTACTCTCCTGGAAAAAACAAATGTTCCAGCTGCAGAAGTTTAGTTTCTGACTGAAATGTTCTTGTGATATCCCTGATCAGATGAGAAACTAAAGCTTTATGAAAGCATTTAGTACCTGGCGTAATTGATGAAGGTTGATTTCAAGAGTATTGTTAATCTGTAAAGCTTTCAGTGAGGTGCTTGAAGAAGGCTTCATTCTGAAGTAAGAAACTAACACACAAACAGGTTACACAAGTACTTCCCAGAACCAGACTGTTGGCTCATGATCAGATGTACAGTGAGGATAGGGAATATGTCTGTGGAGTTAAAGTATTGCAGCAAAGGGGGAGAGACAAATATTACTGATGAAATAATATGTTCTGTACCTGCAACACAAAGGTATAATCTTTAACACTGTCCGTCCATTTTACTTCATCCAACCAAGGTTCACGGGGGAGCCTATCCCAGCAAGCAATTGGCGCAAGGAAGGGTACACCTTGGACAGGATGCCAGTCCATCACAGGGCACACGGACACAAACACGCACACACTCACACCAAGGCCCATTTCCCAGAAACTGGTTAACCTACCAGTATGTCTTTGGGCTGTGAAAGGGACTATAGAGCACCCAGAGGAAAACCACGAGAACAAGAGGAGAACATACAAACTCCACACAGATAGCACCCCTGTTCTGGAATTAAACCCAGGGCTCCACTTCTGTGAGGCAGGAATGTTAATCACTGTGCCCCCATGACACCCTGGCTGACCCATGTACTGTAGTCCTCAGGCTCCTTTATTCTTGACTGAACAGATTTCACTTTGATGTTTGATGTTTTATTTTGACAGAACTCTGTGTGCAGGGCTTCTATTGGGTGATTGTCAAATTTAGTGTAATCCGGGTCTGAAAATGGACCCCATACTTCACTGCCATGTACAGATGGGCAATGGGTTAGAATGCACTTTCGCCTACAGAATTTTATGAAGGGGAATTGATGTTGTAAAGGATCCTTGTTATTGTATAATAAATACAATAACGCATGCCTTCTTCCTCAGTGTCTTCACTGCCAGGACAGGCTCCGAGATGAACTGATTGTCAGACCAAGGTTTGTGTAGCTGCTTCAGTGTTCAGTGTAAAGTGGTGGCTGTTTCCCAGAGTTTTGGTTTTCTTCAGGAAGACCCAAACCCTGGTCCTGTCCCGATTGACTGTCAGTGCCAAGATTTGACAGACCTGCTCTAGCAGTGCCAGAACCTATGTATATTTTGGCAAGGCAATTTCAACTGAAAGTTGTAGAGCCATCTAGGAACACTAGAGGGCCCTAAAGTCCCTTTAATGTTAATATAGTTATTCTCCAGGAATCTCTGAGGAAATTGGATAAAAAATGCCTCTAGATGTGTAGCTCATGGTATAGGGCTTGATTTAGAAGATTTATGAGTGCTCTCACAGGAGGTGGATTTTGGACCAACGTTTTTAGAAACAAATGAAAGGAAAATAGTAGGGATTCCTTCAATCGTCTAATACATATTTCAAGTCTAGAATGAAGAAAAGACTATTCTGGTTGTTACTAGGTCATTTGGCAATCTGTAAATAAAGACAAAGTTACAAGTGAAAGTCCAACTGAGTTATCACTGATCATTAGAAAAGAAATTGGAATGTATAATTTCCCAGGAAGCTGTAAACTGGTAAATTGATCAGGTTGGGAAAGATGAGGAACAAAGAAATAAAATTCTGAAAATCGCATATCTGGGGAACAAGTAATGTAGTGTTTTGTCCCAAGGGATCAGACAATAAGAAATGAAGGTAACATGACAAAGCAGTGAAAACTATAAATCAGAGTGCATAAAATAGCTCAGGCCTGGAGTGAGTTTGAAAATCAGATTAATAATTAAATTTTAAACACTAGTTATTAAAGTATTGTTTTTGCATTTATTGCTGAACTAATAAACTGCACTGCTCAAACAAAACAAAATGAAGATCGCCCCCAAAACAGCTAGAAATATACAGTAGACAGGTGAAATAGGTGAGATAGCTTTTTTGTTCTGGTGGAAAAGTGTCCTAAGTGTCCTAAGCCTCTGATCTAATGCAGGTATAATCCAGAGACCAGCCATGGGCCCGAAGCAACACAGTCTGCTGGCTTACATCCTAGTCTGAGCCAGATCTCTAGTGTTGATTGATGACTTACAGTTGTAGCGCTGCTGCTGAATAAAAACTGATTCAGGTTGTCGACAAGAGTCCAAACGTATATTCCGGTGATCAAGCGAAGCATCCATGTTGGCATTGGCTAGCGATT